AAAAAAAAAGTTTAACATGGACTTTCAGGCACTTGCATGCGTTTTTGCGTTTTAGATGCGTTCCAGACCAGATCCAGAGCAGGTAAAATAGGGCTTGCCGCATTTTTTTCATCCGGTCTGGATCCCCACGCTGCGATGTGAACTGGAGGTCAAAATACCATAGGAATACATTGGACGCAGTTTTGATCCGGTCTGCACCTGATCTGGTCCGGATCTGCTCCGCGCTTGGTGTGAACAAGCCCTTAGGCCTTTTCTTTGCAGGGAAGCCTTGCTTTTAAATCTGGACTCCAGTTATAAATATTTATGTATGCTTACATTAGTCTTACACTACTACACTGCTTTATAACGATCTTCTAGATCCTGTACAGCTGCTAAAAGCTAAAACACATAGGGACCCTTGCTCGGCACAACGGCCATTTAGTAGCATCTTTATCAATGGATACTAGGTGTTCTCTGATTGGATGAGGGGCGGTGATGTCACAGCACTGCCCCTTGTCCAATAGAGTGCATTTGCACTGTACACATGCATGCCTAAGCACAAACGTTTAACTGCATACAGTGTAAAATGCAGTCCATATGATAGATATTGGACTTTCTGTTTAGAAGTGTGCTCCTGAGCAAAGCCTCTGTGATGTCAGTGAAAATCTCACAAAGATTTGCTGGGAAAGACAGCGGTAGAATGCTGGGAGAGAGAATAACATGGCACATCTGGAAGTGTTGCATTCCAGTCAACAACATCTGTAAATCTGTGAATACTACATGGATTGCCTAAAGAGAGGAGGCAGGAGGAAGTACAATGCATGCATTTTACAAGAAAGCACTAAAACCGAGATATGAAGGACCTCTAAGTAAGATCTGCATCAGATGAGCTTAAGATAACTGTTTTATGTATTTCAGATACCAAGGTGGATCCTCAATGAAGACAGTAGCACAAAATATAATTGTGCATATGATCAGGATTCTGGGATTCCTCAGAAGGCTTTCATGTCCTTATCAGAAAGAAATCATCATTACTAAGACAAGAGGCTTTTTTGGATCCTGGATGTTGTGCCGGCAGCAGGAAGGTAAAAGAATTTGGAACAGTCTACAGTCAATTTAATAATGTGTGCTTTGCAATTGAGGTACTGCTATCAACAGGACATTCTCCAAAGACACTTCTGGCTCTGTATAGTATTCAAGGCTAGAGGTGTAGCCCATACTATTCAAGTAATCAAGACGTCCATGATTTAGGAGCAGTTTGCAAAGACGTCCTAAATTCTCTCTCTCCTCAACAGTCAGAGCCAGCCTGGAAAACAGAAGAAAAGACAGGAATGTTGTACAGTCATATGTATGTATGGTATTGTTTCTGTAAAACAGGAAAATAAAAGTAATAAGCACACATATGGTTAGTTAGCATACCCTTCTACTCCCTCTGAATCGCAGTCTGGGTTTTTCAGATCTATGTTATGTTCTTCTATGTCATGCTCTTCTGTCTCTACAAGTTCTGTTTTCTCGCTCGAGTTTAAAACCTGCCCCGGTGTCCTGGAACCACACGTTGCCCAGCTAGACATGCGCTGAAAAAGTCCAAATTCCCTCTGTCCTAGCCCCAGCTTCTGGAAGAAATCTCTGCCCACATAGTGGTGCCAGTCACAACGGTGGTGACAACAAAGGGCAATAACAATCCCTTCAACGGGACAAGTGTTTGCTGATTTGTCTTCTATGTTGTCTGTAAGTTCTCCAGTATCGATCTTGAGGCGCTTACACTGTGATCCTCTCACTAGATTAGAGTAATTTTGCACAAGGCAGCGAAGAGCCAAATCTACAAATCAACATAAGAGTTGTCATAACATAAAAGTTCAGAGGCAGGACAAACAAAATGTTCTCACTGATAAAACACAGCAGCTGTCATGACATGTCAATAGTCCCTGCTTCGTATTATTAAGTCACTGACAAAAAAGAGTAAAAGAAAAAAAATAAAAATATTATTATTATTGGGGATGCACCGAAATTTCGGACGCTGAAACATATCGGCTGAAATGGTACTTTGGGCAAAATGCTGAAAGTACCATCTTTTGGCCGAAATTGCGGTGCATCCCTAGATATATATATATATATATATATATATATAGGG